TCTCACCTATGTGAGTTCGACTAGTGGAAAATTCCACGCACACATCGTCCTGGCCGATATTTCCGTTGTAGGGAGGGGGAGCGGGGGGGGGGGGGGGAGGGAGGGGGGAGGGAGGGAGGAGGAGTCTTGATCAAGGGAAATAACTCGTACATGATTTGATGGAATTTGTTCTGCTTGAAACGGGGAAAAATATTCACAGTGACGTTTATTTTTTTAAAATAAATTAAATAATAATAACAGAGATTACCCCCACCCTTTCGCCCCAACACACCCTCCCCCAACTCGCCATAACCTTAGATTTCCGCTGATAATGTCGGGCTATTTAAACCAATTTTTCTCGCTGATTTCGACTCAGTTGTGTAAACTTGATCGATCTGTTTGACGCTGCATCTATTGAAGACACACAGCGCTGAACCACATTTCAAGGGAGCCTACTCTCTCATGTTCCAACTGTAAACACAAATAAATCGTTAATGCCCCGCGGCCCAGGCAAAAGATGCAGGTTTGAAAATGTGCTCCCGGTAAAAGTGCATCATTAACCGCCTCAGGTGAGGCTCGGGCACATCTACCCACCACCCACGGGCTAATAAACCTGGGCTACCCCCACCCCCCACCTCCACACCCACGGGCTGATAAACCTTGACTAACCGATACACCTGTATAGAAATAGACAAAACCGCATGAGTTGAGCTTCTGCAGCAAGCTTGGCGGCTAGCACTGAGATATCAACTAGGCTTTGGGTTGGGCTTAGGGGTTTAGGGGTTCAAGACTTTTCCCAAGTCAGTGAGTCGGATTTATGTTGGGCTTTGCGTTTAAGGGGTTTAAGTCAGTGAGTCAAAGTCATTTGTGGCCAAATATGACATGAGTCATGTGGCGTTTGTTACACAATATAACATGACTTACAGATGTTACACATAACAATATGACTTACAAGTATCTCTTTAAGCCATCCTAGCATACAATTAAACAACAATTTGTTTTATAAGACAACACTTTGTTCCCAATAAAGTCATCAAAAACAAAGTCAAATGACTTGAACGTGTTCCATACGGAGTAAATCATGTATGACTGAATGTGCTACATAAGTAATCTTGACAGATACAGTCGTTAATAACGAGAGCAGCAAAACAAGGCCTAAAGTTGTTAATACAAGCAGCGAGGGAAGGGGGGGGGGGGGGCAGGGTTCTCGACAATGTTGTCTTGTTGTATCACCACACACTTCAACTCTCTAGCTTCGCTGTTCAATTTTTTGTTTTACTTTTGATACAACAATTCCCGAGTTCGAACACAAATAAAACCGTTCGATACAAAAACTCCCGAGTTCGAACACACATAAAACCGTTCGATACAAAAACTGCCGAGTTCGAACACACATAAAACCGTTCGATACAAAAACTCCCGAGTTCGAACACACATAAAACCGTTCGATACAAAAACTCCCGAGTTCGAACACAAGTAAAACCGTTCGATACAAAAACTCCCGAGTTCGAACACACATAAAACCGTTCGATACAAAAACTCCCGAGTTCGAACACACATAAAACCGTTCGATACAAAAACTCCCGAGTCCGAACACACATAAAACCGTTCGATACAAAAACTCCCGAGTCCGAACACACATAAAACCGTTCGATACAAAACCTCCCGAGTTCGAACACAAGTAAAACCAATGAGAAGATTGGCGGATCAGTGCAAGCTCACCGGATCACTTGCCTCGCCTTAATAATTAATGCCCCTGATGAGTTGCCAACGCTCAAGTAATGGCGAGTTAAGCCCCTTTTGGTGGATAAAAAAAGTCAGAGATTAGGGGAGGTAAGGCAAAAATAAACGACAAAATAGCGAGACTTAACGTGGGCTGTCCTACACCCTAACCATAACAGTAACACATACACACTCAAACTATAACAGTAACACATATACACCCTAACCATAACAGTACCACATATACACTCAAACCATAACATTACCACATATACACTCAAACCATCATTGTAATACATACACCCTAACCATAACAGTAACACATATACACCCTAAACTAAAAAAAAACCATAACAGTAACACACATACACTCTAACCATAACAGTAACACATAACGCCATGTACACACAGAGCTGTTCCATCAGCCCTATCTAGATCCTACATGTTGGTGTATCATATTTAAACGTGTCTTAAATCTATATACACTCTATACCCACAAGGGAAAATTGTGTAGTTAAATACACTAAAACAACATAAACTGGTATAAGACGGGGCTTGACATTTAAATAAGTTATCTCACAGTCAGCTCCGAAAATGGACGTCTGCTAATACACCAATTGTGGTTAAAGTGACTCATCCCAACAACAAAGATCATCCCAACAACAAAGATCATCCCCACAACAAAGATCATCCCCACATCAAAGACCATCCATACAACAGAGAGAATCCCAACAAAAAGATCATCCCTACAACGCCCAGCCCCCCCCCCCCCCCCCCAACACCACCCACCCAGAGCTTGTCCAGCTCTATCAAGCTCAGTTTCCTCCCTTTAGTTGACCATTTTGATATCACGTGACGACCGTGTGTTCCCCGGGGGCTGGGCGACGCTAATCGTGTCCGTGATGAATGTCTACCCGTGGCTGCCTCTCCAGCGGCCACTGACCACCTGATGGCTCTCAACAACTGCTTGACCGTCAGACGTTCACTTGACTTGACCACAAGACGTCCATTTGACTTGACCGTCAGACGTACATTTGACTTGACCGTCAGACGTTCGTTTGACTTGACCGTCAGACGTTCATTTGACTTGACCGTCAGACGTTCGTTTGACTTGACCGTCAGACGTTCGTTTGACTTGACCGTCAGACGTCCATTTGACGACCATCAGACGTCCATTTGACTTGACGGACAGACGTCCATTTGACTTGACCACTAGACGTCCATTTGAATTGACCGTCAGACGTCCATTTGACTTGACCGTCAGACGTCCATTTGACTTGACCGTCAGACGTCCATTTGACTTGACCGTCAGACGTCCATTTGAATTGACCGTCAGACGTCCATTTGAATTGACCGTCAGACGTCCATTTGACTTGACCGTCAGACGTCCATTTGACTTGACCGTCAGACGTCCGTTTGACTTGACCACAAGACGTCGATTTGAATTGACCACAAGACGTCCGTTTGACTTGACCACAAGACGTCGATTTGACTTGACCACAAGACGTCCATTTGACTTGACCACAAGACGTCCATTTGACTTGACCACAAGACGTCCAATTGATTTGACCACAAGACGTCCATTTGACTTGACCACAAGACGTCCAATTGATTTGACCACAAGACGTCCATTTGACTTGACCATCCTCTGAGACCATCTTGGTGTAACACTAAACATGAAATATTCCCCTCAAGTTTATACCCCGCCCCCCCCCCCTCAAGTTGACGTCCCTCCCCCACACACACTCAAGTTGATGCCCCCTAACCCACACTCATGTTGATGCTCCCCCCACTCAAGCTGATGTCACCACCCCTCCCCCACACTCAAGCTGATGTCCCCCACGGCCGCATTAAACTAAGTTACTTTAGTCCATTAGGGTCGACCAGAAGCCAAGCAAGTGCTGTAACTCTATTGTTCCTGGCAGCATAACTCTTGTTTCTAGGGACCATAACTCCCTTGTTTCTAGGGACCATAACTCCCTTGTTTCTAGGGACCATAACTCCCTTGTTTCTAGGAACCATAACTCTATTTCGCGCCCGCCGCAAGTGTTACTTTCATCCATTATGTTATCAGGAGACAGGTTTGAAAACTACCAGACTTCGTTACGGTGTCAGCACGCATCACGCTGTTGTGTGCACGTGACCCGAGACATCAAGGTCAAGGTTACCGCACGAACACGGACACACGCATCGTGAGTGAGCAAGTTCAACTTGACGTTGATACACCTGAGGTGGTCAACACACACGTACAGCTGCAGGGCTCACTGTCAACGTGCAGGTGTCGGGCTGATGAGAGCAGACTGGGGGGGGGGGGGGGGTGGGGAGGGGAGAGTTGGACGCCATATTTAATATACAGGTGGTGTTTTACATCAAGAGCAGGTACAGTAACGTGTGAGTATTTGAGTCTTTGATCAACCCCAGTGTTACGTGTGGACGTTGGGTGTGGGGCAAGTTACACAACAGCAAAACCTGGTTTACTAGAGTAAGGAGCGGAACTCTGCTCGATTTGATGGCTGTCATTGCTTTAGAAAAACTGACCAACACAAACCTGACCCACCCCACACAGACCTTAATGACCCCCACAAACCCCCCCCCCCACCCCCACACGCCCCCCACCCCCCCCCCCCCACCCCAGCAACTTACCCCGCCCCCATCAACTTACCCCTATAAGCAGGATAGAGACAACACAAACGCTGGCGTAGTGCAGCTTGTGAGCCACCTCCATACCCCCCCCTCCCACCCACACACCCTGCCCCCCTAACACCCTGCCCCCCCCAACCTCCCCCCCCCCATCAACTTACCCCCCCCCCCACCCGATCAACTAACCCCTATGAGTAGGATGGAGACGACACAGACGCTGGCGTAGTGCAGCTTGTGGGCCATTTCCATACCCCCCACCCCCTCCCCCACCCACACACCCCCGGCAACTTACCCCCCCCCACCCCATCAACTTACCCCTATGAGCAGGATAGAGACAACACACACACTGGCGTAGTGCAGCTTGTGAGCCACCTCCATACCCCCCGCCCCCCGCCCCATCAACTTACCCCCCACCCCATCAACTTACCCCTATGAGCAGGATGGAGACGACACACACACTGGCGTAGTGCAGCTTGTTGGCCACCTCCATACCCCCCGCCCCCCCCCCCCCCCGCCCCATCAACTTACCCCCCACCCCATCAACTTACCCCTATGAGCAGGATAGAGACGACACATACACTAGCGTAGTGCAGCTTGTGGGCCACCTCCATACCCTCCTCCCACCCACACACCCTGCCCCCCCCCCCCCATCAACTTACCCCTATGAGCAGGATAGAGACGACACACACACTGGCGTAGTGCAGCTTGTGGGCCACCTCCATCTCCTTGCTGTGGTGCAGCTCCCGTCGCATGTTCTTCTCCACCTCCTCATCCACGCCCGGGGGGGACGGGACCTCAGTCGTCGAGCTGTCCTCGTCCGTGGCGTCACGCCTGGCCCTGGAGCCTCTCCCCCGGGCGGACCCATGCTGCATGTCTTGCCAATGCTGATGTTCTGGAGAGTAAATATCCCCACCGTCATTTGGTGTGCGAACGTTCGTGGTGTCGTCGCTTTGTCCCGAGGTAGTGCTGGCGCTAGACTCACCCCGGGGGTGGGGAAATGTTGGCGCAGGCCGGGCCTGTGGTGCCGTAGAGTGGAGCCGTGAAGGAAGTCTTGAAGACGCCGACGTTAGGTCTGGTACGGCTGCTGGGTCAGGCGAAAAACTCTCAGCCGGTTCCGTGTCCACGGCCAATGACGTCATCTGGCCTGCCGTGACCGTCGCCTCAAGGTCTGCCGTCAACACGGCTTGTAAGTCTGGTGTCACGTGATGTAAGTCTGGTGTCACGTGATGTAAGTCTGCCGTCCACGGCTGATGGTGCGCAAGTTGAGCTAAGAAATCTTCCACCACTAGATCTGTCACAGTCGACTCCTTGGGTTGCATAGTGAGGTACTCGCTGAGGTTAAAGAAGAGGTACATCATCCCCTCAAGATGGCGGATTATGGTGAGGACCTCTCCCTGTTGGCTGTTGAAGTGGTCGGGCTGCTGTATGCTGTCAGGCTGCTGTATGCTGTCAGGCTGCTGTTTGTGCTGTTTGTCGTTGTCGTGTCGCTGTGAAAAACGAGAGTTTAGGGCGTGGACGTCCGCAACAATGACGTCACTGAGGCAATGTTTACGGACGTGTTGTAGCATGTTTTTTAATATCTTTTGAGCTTCGTTGTGGTTATCGTGTAGCGACCGGTCGCCGGCTGTAGAACTGTGATTTTCGTGCGGCGACCGGTCGCCGGGTCGGATATTGCTTTTGGAAGATCGCCGGACGCGGCTGTTGATGTAGTGAGGAGCTTGCTGCGGCGTCTGGACCTCCAGGGTCTGAACAAAACTCGGGTCTGGCATCGTCCTGAGTTCCACGACGGCAGGCGTGCTGGGGGCGCTGACTAACGAGGGTTCGGAGCTGCTGTCGGCGAGAGGGGTCAGTTGGGGGTTGAAGACTTGGGGGTTCCTGACGTAGGGGCTGTTCCATAAGATGGTGACGTTGGCAAGCCGCTCGTAGATTGACGTCACCGACTCGCTGGGCGACGTGTCGTCTGGGTAGTTGGCCTTGACCCTCTTGATGAAGTTGAACATCTGGTCCTCCGTGGCTGCTAGGGTTTCTGGAAGGATAGAGATGGGTTCAAGGTCACAGGTGATGGGTTCAAGGTCACAGGTGATGGGTCAAGGTTACATGTGATGGGTTCAAGGTTGCAGGTGATGGGTTCAAGGTTACAGGTGATGGGTTGCAGGTGATGGGTTCAATGTTATAGGTGATGGGTTCAAGGTTACATATGATGGGTTCAAGGTTATAGGTGATGGGTTCAAGGTAACAGGTGATGAGTTCAAGGTTAACGGTGATGGGTTCAAGGTTACAGGAGATGGGTTCAAGGTTACAGGTGATGGGTTTAAGGTTACAGGTGATGGGTTCAAGGTTACATGTGATGCATTCAAGGTTACAGGCAATAGATTGAGAGTTACATATGATAGGTTACAGATTAAACATTGCGAAACTAATTCAGCACTTTGCTGTTTACTGCAACAATAGGTGTGATTATATCGCAACAACGCGCAACTATAGGCATACAACGGTTATGTAATAAAAGTGCAACTACGACACAATCAAGCACGTTTACAGGAACAATTAAGTTGTCACTTTTATACGCGCCCATCAATTAAACTGACTCATTAATTAACCTTAGACGGAGCAGCGTAGGAGGACCTTTCATCGTGTGGCTAATTGGAGAGACGTGGGATTTTAGCGTGGGGTAATATTTGGTTGTTTCCCTTGCGGGGATAATACAATAATTGCTTCCCTTGTGTGAAAAATACCGAGTTATCTCCCTCGTGAGGGTAATATCGTGTTGTCAAGTGTGTAATAAAGAGGATACAATCCAACTTCGTTACACACACCATTTCACACAACACATGCTTATTTGACGTTGTGTTGTATTGTGGGTTAATAGAGACCCGTCGTCACACTACTGGGATATATCACATCTAATGGTTGGTTGAATTATATTTCACATCTAATGGTTGGGGGAATTATATTTCACATCTAATGGTTGATTGAATTATATTTCAATCTAATTGTTGGTTGAATTATATCTGAGGTTGTATGATGACGATTGTTTTAATACAATCCTGCATGATAACATGTACATCATTGGCTCCACTGATTAAGTCTACATAGTTCTCTCCCATCTCTAGCAACTGTAGGAAAGTTGTCTCCCATCTCTAGCAACTGTTGGAAAGTTGTCTCCCATCTCTAGCAACTGTTGGACAGTTCTCTCCCATCTCTAGCAACTGTTGGAAAGTTGTCTCCCATCTCTAGCAACTGTTGGAAAGTTGTCTCCCATCTCTAGCAACTGTTGGACAGTTCTCTCCCATCTCTAGCAACTGTAGGAAACTTGTCTCCCATCTCTAGCAACTGTTGGACAGTTCTCTCCCATCTCTAGCAACTGTAGGAAAGTTGTCTCCCATCTCTAGCAACTGTTGGAAAGTTGTCTCCCATCTCTAGCAACTGTTGGAAAGTTGTCTCCCATCTCTAGCAACTGTTGGACAGTTCTCTCCCATCTCTAGCAACTGTAGGAAAGTTGTCTCCCATCTCTAGCAACTGTTGGAAAGTTGTCTCCCATCTCTAGCAACTGTAGGAAACTTGTCTCCCATTCTCGTCAGCTGACTGAGATATCGATCACTTCCCGCTCAATCGTCCGTATCGCTCGTGCCGTCTAGCTGTCGTCTGACATGCGAGCCAGCAGAAACTGTTTTCATTGCTGGACGACAGACATATCGAGGGCTCCGGCACGCGGTACAGGCTGGTCACGTGTTTCCCGTAATGGCCGTCAGTAAACCAAACTGTGACAGACCAAACGACAGGGTCATCAAGGAATTACTTTAATGAGAAATGTATGAGGATGGGAAGGTATGACGTCACACAGGAGTATTTGGAAAAAGTAATATTAGAAATTTTGGTAAATTGTATTACAAAGTAGGTCATCATGACCCGCCTTGATAACCTGCTTAAGCCAATCCATCACTTTCATGTTTTATAACTCAAGTGACGTGGCAAGAAATATGCGTGTGCTACACATATCCCCACTCCCAACCAGAATTAAGTCACGTGATGAGGTTTTAGGTGTGAGCATCCTTTTGTATGCCATCACAGGCCAAGAAAAACGTTTGATTAGTGAGCAGATCAAACCACTGATGAGGTCAGTCGGTGCATGTTTAATATGAGGGGATCACACGTTGGCCAATAAAAGACTGGCCACATGGTTGTGATGGTGGCAAATATTAGCTGGGGGGGGGGGGGCAAATCGTTAGGTAAAGAGACATTAGAAAATATTAGCAGGGAGAAACAAATCGTTAGGTACAGAGACATTAGAAAATATTAGCTGGGGGGGGGGACAAATCGTTAGGTACAGAGACATTAGAAAGCTGGATGGTGAGTAATGTTTCTTTCGGTGAGTGGTTGAGGGTGGGGTGATGGTGGTATGGCTTTGCTAGTGTGTTGATGGTGTGGTGTTGATGGTGTGGTGTTGATGGTGTGGTGTTGATGGTGTGGTGTTGATGCTGTAGTGTTTATGGTGTGAGTGTGGTGTTGATGGTGTGGTATTGATGATGTGGTGCTGATGATGTGGTGTTGATGGTGTGGTGTTGATGGTGTGGTGGTGATGGTGTGGTGGTGATGGTGTAGTGATGGTGTGGTGTAGTGTTGATGGTGTGGTGTTGATGGTGTGGTGTTGATGGTGTGGTCGTGATGGTGTGGTGTTGATGGTGTGGTCTTGATGGTGTGGTGTTGATGTGGTGTTGGTGATGTGGTGTTGGTGTGGTGTAGTGTTGATGGTGTGGTGTTAATGGTGTAGTGTTGATGGTGTGGTGTTGATGGTGTGGTGTGGTGTTGATGTGGTGTTGATGGTGTGGTGTTGATGGTGTGGTGTTGATGGTGTGGTGTTGATGTGGTGTTGATGGTGTGGTGTCGATGGTGTGGTGTTGATGGTGTGGTGTTGATGGTGTGGTGTTGATGGTGTGGTGTTGATGGTGTGGTGTTGATGGTGTGGTGTTGATGGTGTGGTGTTGATGGTGTGGTGTTGATGTGGTGTTGATGGTGTGGTGTTGATGTGGTGTTGATGGTGTGGTGTTGATGGTGTGGTGTTGATGCTGTGGTGTTGATGGTGTGGTGTTGATGTGGTGTTGATGGTGTGGTGTTGATGTGATGTTGATGGTGTGGTGTTGATGGTGTGGTGTTGATGGTGTGGTGTTGATGGTGTGGTGTTGATGTGGTGTTGATGGTGTGGTGTTGATGGTGTGGTGTGTGTGTGGTGTAGTGTTGATGGTGTGGTGTTGATGGTTTGGTGTTGATGGTGTGGTGTTGATGTGGTGTTGATGGTGTGGTGTTGATGGTGTGGTGTTGATGTGGTGTTGATGGTGTGGTGTTGATGTGGTGTTGATGGTGTGGTGTTGATGGTGTGGTGTTGATGTGGTGCTGATGATGGGGTGTTGATGGTGTGGTGTAGTGTTGATGGTGTGGTGTTGATGGTGTGGTGTTGATGTTGTGTTGATGGTGTGGTGTTGATGTGGTGTTGATGTGGTGTTGATGTTGTGGTGTTGATGTTGTGGTGTTGATGTGGTGTTGATGGTGTGGTGTTGATGGTGTGGTGTTGATGGTATGGTGTTGATGGTGTGGTGTTGATGGTGTGGTGTTGATGTGGTGTTGATGGTGTGGTGTTGATGGTGTGGTGTTGATGGTGTGGTGTTGATGGTGTGGTGTTGATGGTGTGGTGTTGATGGTGTGGTGTTGATGGTGTGGTCGTGATGGTGTGGTGTTGATGGTGTGGTGTTGATGGTGTGGTGCTGATGGTGTGGTCGTGATGGTGTGGTGTTGATGATGTGGTGTTCAGGCGAATCTGAGAGACTGGATAATAATTCATCCACGGGAGAACACACGATCAAGCCACACCGCCACACGAACACACAGTCACACGACCACGCATTCACACAACCACACAACCACACAGCCACACAGCCACACGACCACACGGCCATGTAGCCCTACCATCCTTCTCTCTAAATACATCAAACACTCCACACAATAGCTCGAGGTCAACAACCTAGCATCCTTACGTCACTCAAAATACTATGACGTCATACAGTTTGATAAAAAAAACGAACTTCACATGCAGCACAAAGCGAACATTAAAAAAAACACGTCATAAGTAACATCTGCACGTCAAAGTCGGTCGTCTTTAGTTTAAAAATGCCTTAGAAAAAAAAACGAATGGAGAAAATGACGTCACAGCAGAACTGGAAAAACAAAGCGATAATTCATGGTTAAAAAATACTCGAGCCAGAAATAACTGTGATCTAATTAAACTCTCACAGATAAAGCTGTTTGCAGATAAAAAAAAATCTGCCCCCCCCCAGATAATGAAGGGGAGTGGTGTTTGTGTGGCTAATGGGCCAGTTAAATATCAGGTGCTAATTTCCTGCTGGTCTAGCTGTTTACCTTAGCACTAGTGTGGCGGGGGAAGTGCATGTTGATGCCATCAGTTGCAGGAGTGCTGGTGAAGTCTCAATGCTAGAGATGTGCTGGTGAGTGCTAAGTGCTACAGGTGTGCTGGTTAGTGCTAAATGCCACAGGTGTGCTGGTTAGTGCTAAGTGCTACAGGTGTGCTGGTTAGTGCTAAATGCCACAGGTGTGCTGGTTAGTGCTAAATGCTACAGGTGTGCTGGTGAGTGATAAATATTTAAAGTCAGCTAACTATAAAGTGAATGGTGCTAACGAGTGCTAAATATTACAGGTGTGCTAGCAACAACGGGTGTGTTAATAACGACAGGTGAATAGACCAGGTGGTAACAAAAAATAATGACGTAACTAAATATTCAACGTTTAGATGTAGGTCACAGAATGTCCAGAATCTAGAACAAGCACTACTGACGTCACAGAGAATGTCCAGAATCTAGAGCAAGCACTACTGACGTCACACAGTCGAGACGAGTGACGTAGCTCTGACACGGAGACAAAGTGCAGAAGCTTCCGTCGGACTGTAAGACGCTTATGGTTCAGACTGGGCCACTTTTGACGGACAGGTTCGATTGAATCGATACTCTCTGATCAGATCGATATGCCTGGATCACTGACCCATCTGCCAGTCTGTAGAGGTGCTGGTCAAACACCAACTGCTATGTTGCGAGATTTAGACAAACATCAACTGCTGATGTTGTAAGTTCTAGTCAAACACCAACTGTCTGATGTTGTAAGTTCTAGTCAAACACCAACTGTCTGATGTTGTAAGTTCTAGTCAAACACCAACTGTCTGATGTTGTAAGTTCTAGTCAAACACCAACTGTCTGATGTTGTTAGAACTAGTCAAACACCAACTGCTGATGTTGTGAAGACATTGGTGAACTGTCTGATATCTTGTGGCGAAGTCTCATAACGCAATAAACATCTAAGCATGAGCTATATATATATATATATATATATATATATATATATATATATATATATATATATATATATATATATATATATATATATATATATATATATATATATATATATATATATATATGTGTGTGTGTGTGTGTGCGTGTTTGTTTGTTTGTGTAATATGTGTAACCCATACAATGCACCGATAAAATAACAGGGTTAAACGGATAAATAAAACACCTCTGTTTACAATTGATAAGCTCAAGTTATGCTCTTAAAAAATCCCTTACAGAAATTCCCGTTTTAAAACTAGCCGTTAAAATTGCTTACAGGTGCGCTACATGGAGGCCTTGACAGCCTGATTCTTTTCTTGTATTCATGGTTTCAGGTGGAATAATCAGGTTATATTCTACTCGTAGGAGAGGGTCTATAAATAGCTCAAGGACTTGTAATCTTATTGTTTACTTTAGAATGCTAAGTGTAAGAAGTAAACATTCCAACGTTTGAATGGAATGTTGTCATGCTTTACATTCCCACATATCAACATCCGTTCTTACAGGCCGTTAATTAATGACCTTAAGTTTCATTAAGACTTGTCACTGTCTGTAACGGTATGTGACGAAATGTGACGATTCGTGACGTATATTTATAGCTTCTGGATCAACTGGTAACAAAAAGTGGGGATTTTTCTTTAAATAATACAATTTAAAGCAATCAAGAACAATGTTTGTTGGTGTAAAACTACAAAACAAAAGCCTAGTTAGTCAAAAACATTATTAAGTCAACACCACAGTAAAGGGTGAACACCACTGTAGACAGTGAACACCAAACACCACTCTAGATAGTGAACACCACTCTAGAAAGTGAAGTGAACACCACTCTAGACATTGAGCACCAAACACTACTCTAGACAGTGAACACCAAACACCACTCTAGACAGTGAACACCACTATAGACAGTGAACACCAAACACCACGCTAGACAGTGAACACCAAACACCACTCTAGACAGTGAACACCATTCTAGACAGTGAACACCAAACACCATGCTAGAAAGCGAACACCAAAACCACTCTAGACAGTGAACGCCAAACACCACTCTAGACAGTGAACACCAAACCCCACCCTAGACACCAAAAACCACTAAGAAGTCATCAAGAGTTATGTGCCCTGCAGGGATGGACACTTGGAAAATCTCTTATGACGAGATCGATGCCAATATTGTTTGCTGAATGGAATAATCGTGTGTTCGATTACGTGGACTAACAAGTCCTCGCTTTTATTTAACAATCTTTTTATCAGCTTTGTGTTAGTCATGGTGTGGTAACTGTGGTTTGGGGTGGTTTGGGGTGGTTTGGGGTGGTTTGGGGTGGTTTGGGGTGGTTTGGGGTGGTTTGGGGTGGTTTGGGGTGGTTTGGGATGGTTTGGTGTGGTTTGGTTTAGTTAGTATATGGTGTGATGACCCCATGACCCACCCCATGACCCACCACATGACCCACCCCATGACCACCCACATGACCCACCCCATGACCCACCCCATGACCCACCACATGACCCACCCCATGACCCACCCCATGACCCACCCCATAACCCACCCCATGACCCACCCCATGACCCACCCCATGACCCACCCCATGACCCCACCACATGAACCCACCACATGACCCACCCCATGACCCACCCCATGACCCACCCCATAACCCACCACATGACCCACCCCATGACCCACCCCATGACCCACCCCATGACCCACCCCATGACCCACCACATGACCCACCCCATGACCCACCCCATGACCCACCCCATGACCCACCCCATGACCCACCCCATAACCCACCACATGACCCACCACATGACCCCACCCCATGACCCACCCCATAACCCACCACATGACCCACCACATGACCCCCCCACATGACCCACCCCATGACCCCCGAGGATGACGTATCACTTACTTTTGACGCTGTACAGGTCGAGTATGAGCTCAGCTATGACGAGAGCACAGTCCGTCACGGTCAGGATGATGACCAGGATCACCACGTACTTGCTGTGGAGGATCTTCTCGCCGCGCTTACGTAATCTGGGGAGGGAGACACACCATCAGGACACACCATCAGGACACACCATCAGGACACACCATCAGGACACACCATCAGGACACACCATCAGGACACACCATCAGGACACACCATCAGGACACACCATCAGGACACACCATCAGGACATGGACACACCATCAGGACACACCATCAGGACATGGACACACCATCAGGACATGGACACATCGTCAGGACATAATACCCAATAAATGATGTAAGATAACATCCACCCAATAAACGATGTAAGGAAACATCCACCCAATAAATGATGTAAGGAAACATCCACCCAATAAATGATGTAAGGAAACATCCACTCAATAAATGATGTAAGGAAATATCCACCCAATAAATGATGTAAGGAAACATCCACCCAATAAATGATGTAAGGAAACATCCACCCAATAAATGATGTAAGGAAACATCCACTCAATAAATTATGTAAGGAAACATCCACTCAATAAATGATGTAAGGAAACATCAACCCAATAACATCAACCCAATAAATGATGTAAGGAAACATCCACTCAATAAATGGATTACAAGGCTGGCCAGATGACCGCCCGTTCGAGTCACGATCGATCAAGTGTGGTCACAATCTAATTACATTAGACTAATTGATCATTTGTGTCGAATGGAAGCTTTTAACTCCACTCCCACTCTACAGTCAATCTTTCCACTTGTAGCTTGTAAATTCTACCACCATTTTACGACCTTTTAACGACCTTTTTAACGACCTTTTATACGACCGTTTTACCGAAGAGCATGAATGCATCACTACATGGTACTGCCGCTGTACAGCCAGGGTCAGGGTCATTCCTCCCATCCCACCCGAGATCTGCCCTCCTACGGGTCACGGTGACCTGAGCACCGACCCAGACTGGCCATAAAACCCGACCACGGGGTTTACTGGAATCTTTTTTATGAGTCGGTTCCAGAACTCGGCATGGCACAACCTCGGAAATGTTCGTCTACATCACGGCAATGTTCGTCTACACCACGGCAATGTTCGTCTACACCACGGCAATGTTCGTCTACACCACGGCAATATTCGACTACACCACGGCAATGTTCGTCTACACCACGGCAATGTTGGTCTGCTCCAATTATAATTAGGCCGTGTGTGTATAACTAAACTATACACGTTACATTGAGGAAAAAAACAAACTATCATGAATGAAATATTTAAAACAACATTGTATCCAATCAAAAAGCCGAACACGGAACTTAAAAAAATGTTTCTCCTTAATGATCGCTGCTATCAGGTTTACTTTTTTTCATGGGAGACTGAGAGGAAAAACTGACTTGTACAATCTGATGCAATAAATCCAGACTAGGCAAGGGAACAAGGCTACACATGTCATCAAATGTCGTCAACTGTCATCTAGTTGTCATCAGAATGGTGGAGGGCTACTAGTTCTGGGGATAGGCCATATCTTAAACGATAACACACACACAACCCCTCCACCACACAACCCCTCCACCACACAACCCCTCCACCACACAACCCGTCCACCACACAACCCGTCCACCACACAACCCCTCCACCACACAACCCGTCCACCACACAACCCCTCCACCACACAACCCCTCCACCACACAACCCCTCCACCACACAAACCGTCCACCACACAAACCGTCCACCACACAACCCCTCCACCACACAAACCCTCCACCACACAAACCGTCCACCACACAACCCCTCCACCACACAACCCCTCCAACACACAACCCCTCCACCACACAACCCCTCCACCACACAACCCCTCCAACACACAACCCCTCCAACACACAACCCCTCCAACACACAAACCCTCCACCACGCATCCCCTCCACCACGCATCCCCTCCACCACACATCCCCTCCACCACGCATCCCCTCCACCACGCATCCCCTCCACCACACATCCCCTCCACCACGCATCCCCTCCACCACGCATCCCCTCCACCACGCATCCCCTCCACCACGCATCCCCTCCACCACGCATCCCCTCCACCACACAACCCGTCGCAGCCCCCACAGCTAAGTGCACAATGATCCAGTGCCCCACCTCCCCCACACACCCCCCAAATCCCCCCCCCCAAAACACCACACCCCCACACACACCCCACACAAAGCCTGGGTGTCAGCACTCACAGCTAAGTGCACAATGATCCAGCGCCCCCCACACACCCCACACACCCCACACACCCCAAACACCCCCACACAAGCCCCCACAGCTAAGTGCACAATGATCCAGCACCCCACACACCCCCACACAAGCCCCCACAGCTAAGTGCACAATGATCCAGCACCCCACGACGCCACGTGACAATTATTGATGAGAAATCGATAATAAACCAATTGATTTCCTCAGCTTGAGTTGGTAAAATACGGCTCAAGAACTCCCCAAGAGCTTATCTCTGTTTTAATTTATTTTTAATCTGTTTATGTACAGATCTCCTGACTCCATATATAGCTCTAACTATAAGACTACCTTTGCACTGGCTATGATATTTCAATTTAGCTTTAACTATAAGACTACAGTTTGAATCTAGCTATAATATTTTAATTAAGCTCTACTATAATGAAACACTAAGTGTAAGTATCGTCAGAATTAATCAGCTTTTGTCATGTAAAGTTAAAGATGTTTATTCATCAACCCCCTCCCCCCTCTTCAAAGTTAAAGATGTTTATTCATCACCCCCCCCCCCCTTCTCTAGAAAGTTAAAGGTATTCATCTGCCCCCGCCCCCATACCTGACCCACCTATCTATTTCTGCCGACTTCCCTCACTGTGGTGTGTCCCCCACCCCCATCCCCCCCCCCTACCTGACCTATCTATTTCCCCTCACTGTGGTGTCCCCCCCCCCCCACCCCCATACCCCCTACCTGACCTATCTATTTCCCCTCACTGTGGTGCCACACGTTATCTTGGAGCTGTTCAGTCACAGATATAAAGCTGATCCCTGGAACAGGTGGTATAGAGGTGATGACGGCGGGGGGGGGGGGGGGGGGGGGGGGGGGGTAGGTGAGGCGGGGGTGCCGATAGAGAGGTGGTGGGGGAAGTAGTTGGGGCGGGGGTGTCGATAGAGAGGTAGTCGGGGGCTAAGTGGGGCGGGGGTGCCAATAGGAATATGGAGGGGGGTAGGTGAGGCGGGGGTGTCGATAGAGAGGTAGTCGGGGGCTAAGTGGGGCGGGGGTGCCAATAGGAATATGGAGGGGGTAGGTGAGGCGGGGGTGCCGATAGAGAGGTGGTGGGGGAAGTAGTTGGGGCGGGGGTGTCGATAGAGAGGTAGTCGGGGGCTAAGTGGGGCGGGGGTGCCAATAGGAATATGGAGGGGGTAGGTGAGGCGGGGGTGCCGATAGAGAGGTGACGGAGGTAGCAAGAGGAATCTGAGATATGTAGAGTTTGGCTGTGATAGAATTTCAAACATTTAACTCATTCATACAGAGTTTAAATGTAGAATGTATGGTGTTTTACGTGTAATCGAGTCGGAAAAACTGGGATTTGCAATTCTGTCTGTGTGTATGTGTGTGTGTGTGCACTATTATACACATATTTTTTGCAGTTCACTTAGTGCACAATTATTTTTTCTACGAGATTCTATTTTATTTTTTAAAAGTTTAAGTATCTAAAATGGATTAAAAATCATGTCTATATCACGAGTTGCTATCCCCCGTAGTGTTATATAAGAATATTCCAGAAAAGTTTGGGGGAGATCACTCCAGCTTTATTTTACTGAATTTAAAGATTTCTAATATAAAGGTTTTTATTTTTGTTTAATTTCGCAATATTTAGCCATTCGCTCTAAAAGAAGAAGACGCTAAGCAAACTAAGTAAAAACTTGTAAAAAATAAACTTTTTTTCTTTATACATAAGGGAGCGGTTGACTCAAATATGTCAATGTTTTCATCTGAGTATAACGCTTTTTTGGTGCATTTATAAGATTTTTATTATAACGGTTTAAATACGTGTTTTATTTTCCATTTTTATATAGAGGAGATGTAATATGATCAAGAGATCTGAACGACAGTTATCTTCCCCACCATGCAACATGTAGGTCACTAACCAATGGTCAGCAATCTGGTTTGACAGTATCGAAACACAACTCACCAGTTGAACTGAATTGATCGGGGAAGTTTGGAATACATTCTTATATAATGAGTGGGGCAAATCCAATTTACCAAATATGACCACAACCTCATCCCTCACCACCCCCACCCCCACCCCCAACTACAGAAAAAACAGACGGGTAAACATAGGGACAAACATATGAGACAAAAAGGTTATGAATACAAAATATTTTATCGTCATAGACACACACACACACAAACAAATGAAGACAAATAACGGAGGCAGAGGAAAACAAACGAGAAATCAATCGGAATAGTTTCAGGGTTCGATTACGGTATCGACCCGAACATAAAACAAAAGAAATTAATCAATCACTCTGTTGCTATTTCGGGCTTATTTATTTTCAAAGCTTTTCTAGGCGAAATCTGGAGCGGTCACGTCATGCAAAGATGGGGGTCTTAAGTGTGGGTTGTGTGGTTGTATTGTGGGCGTGTCTAAAGTGTGGGTTGTGTGGTTGTAAAGGGGGCGTGTCTTAGGTGTGGGTTGTGTGGTTGTATTGTGGGTGTGTCTTAAGGGTAGGTTGTGTGGTTGTAAAGGGGGCGTGTCTTAAGGTTGTGTGGGTGTATTGTGGGTGTGTCTTAAGGGTAGGTTGTGTGGTTGTCTTGTGGGCGTGTCGTAAGGTTGTGTGGGTGTATTGTGGGCGTGTCTAAAGGGTAGATTGTGTGGTTGTATTGAGGGCGTGTCTTAAGGGTAGGTTGTGTGGTCGTAGAAAAATGGGCGTGTCTTAAGTGTAGGTTGTGTGGTTATAAAATGGGCGTGTCTTAGGTGTAGGTTGTTTTGGGATTATGAGTTGGGTGTGGCTTTAAAGAACCTGAATGTCTACGTTTAAATAGAAAATAATTGCCTCACGGGATACAACAAATACGCA